CGAGTCGTCACCAAATTCTCCAGGGTTCTCCACGAGGGGTTTTAACAGGGCGTTGCGCCCTGCTTCCTGAAATTAAAGCCCTATCTAAATTGTCAGCACCCTGTTGTATTTCCTGTGCGCCCTGGAACCAAATAAAGAATTGTTTTCAAAACAGACCATCACGTGAAAATTCCGGCTTGTTATCGTAGCAGGTCAAATATATAAAATCGATATCGGTAAAAACATTCGTCAAAACATAAGGTCCATGGTTAAAACCAAGTTCACGCCATCGCTTGTAGTGGCAACAAGGTCACCGTCGAGCAAAGGCAGCCCCTTGCACGATCGGTAAACGACAAGCGCAGCCGGGGTACCATCACAGACATTGCTGATCACCAAGAAGTCCACACGAATGCTTGCCTAAACACGTAAATGTTTATATTTTGACGAATATCAGTTAAATTTTCGTGATTTAAAAACCCCGAAAAACAGTCATGCTTTCAACTCGCATCATAAGTGGAGGAAATAGATTCACCTGCTTTCTTTTTTGGAACAAATTTTCTGATTGGTTGTTTTTTGCGCAAATGCGTGGTTTTACCCAATATAATGCATCTTTTCATAGTATCGGGGTTCTCACAGTCAATAAACTGTTTCCTGGTCGTAGCTATTTTCAACGAACAGACATTTAAAATAAAATAATGCATGTATGCATCTATTTGATGTCTAACAAACAGTCTAACAAACCTGTTTTTCTTTTTGTGTACGCGATAACCGTGATGCAATTACATGAAGCTCAAATCAGTTGATTGCATATGGTGACGTTTACCTAATAATATCACTTCAAAGTTCTCATCTGACATTTATAAAATGTGCTGGAAAAAACATCCTCCAGTAACGTGGGTGGGTACTATCGTGCAGGTTCCTCTTGTCAAGAAAACTAACAGTGTGCATATCTTCGTTATTTGTAGGTGTTTACAAATGATAAACATTAAGAGTAATTCTATTTGTCATTTTCTAGGCTTTGTTCAGTTATGTTTGTCAGTCATGAATATTAATTAAGAGGTTTTGATTTTGTTTAAGGAAGAGAAAAACATGCATTTATTTACCAGAAAAATTACACTACATAAAGTAATGCAAACAAGTCCCCCAATAACAATCTCGCTACATTAATTCAAAAACCTAGATTGCACATATGTCGACTTTATAGAATCAGCATATCCAACGTTATACAGCAATATTCGTTATTAAGGCATGATTTATTTAAGTAGTACATACACCACATAATTAACTACTACTCAAGTTACAAGCTCAAACTAAGCTGCGCCACCAAACAAACAGGGAGTGGCATGCAATTGTCATGCACTGAACTGTCAAAATTCAGAATGACTTTGGCGTGAAAAACAAATTGTACAAAATCACCTGTCAGTCAAATATTAGATTATACCATGTACACACATAGCTCAATAACAGTGTTATACTTGTTTTTAATTTGGATCATATATAGAGATGTATGATGTTAAATTGTTTCATCTACGACAAGATAAATCCAATTCCGGAAGATCCACTTGTAATCCAATATCTCTTGATGGCGGATACGATTTTCTGAAACAAAGATATTACTTATCAATGAAACAACTTCATAAAAGAGTTACTCTGTTTCAGTTATACACAACGTCCAATGCCGTTTTCTTCGTAAAGCTTGCTCCTTAATCGTGACGAGTTTGGCTACATTGCTCTGAGGGTAACTCTTAAGTTTGAATCCGTTTATCAGAATGTTTAGTCGGGTAATGTACAATATGGCTGTGTATGGTAGAATCGGGTAGGGCAATATAGGGTTGGGTAGGTCCACTATATATTATAGTGTATTACACTGATGATATATAGTATTTGGATTCTTTAGATAAATTGGTACATATGGCCTAATGACCATGACTATTTGTAAAATGTATCCAAGAAGCACTTGTTATGTGCATTGATCAATTTATTATTAACACAATGAGAAGTTCGACATCGACTTATTGTTTATCTAAAGTGGTAATATAACATACCTACAGACGTAGTATCATACGTGAGTTAATACTTACTTTCCGAACATTTCCCCTTCTTCTAGTGTTTCGGGCAGTGGCACGCCCGTTGTTTCTGGTAGGAGTAAAACTAGGAGACCAGCTATCACGGAACTTACACCAAATATAAGAAACGGAAGTGGACCCCACACGTAGTTAGCAAGAAGCATTACAAACGGCGCCGCTATACCACCTAATGTTCCGAAACTACCTGTGAATCCAAGACCAGCAGCTTGA